GCCGGCCAGCTGGGTCGGTGTGAACACCACACCTGCGGTGTTGGCTGGCCCAAAACACGAGCAAAACAAAAAATGCCCGCGATGCCCCCCCCCACATCCCTCCCCTGCCGGCCTGGCAGAGGCGACCTCAAGGCTGTGGCTCAGGAGTAGAGCCCTTGCCTAGCATGGGAGGCCCTGGGTTCCTTCCCAGCGCAGGACTAAACCCCAGCAGCAGCAACAACCACCAAAAACAAAGGAGACCTCAGGTTGGTGTGTCTCCCTGCAGGTGCGGATTCTTTTCCCACATACAAGGCCAGAATCAGTTACTTAGGATAGTGGGGCCCTTCACCCTAACAGGCGAGATCTAGTCTGGGTTCCTCACCAAACTGCTGCGCCCGCCCCCCACCCCACGTTATCCATGAGAGTCATCCTCATTGGCAAAGGTGCTAATACCCCGTAGAATCAACAGTGTCCTGATTCATTTTCTCATGGTCGATATTTAGGATACATGATTAAATATATTTTAAATTTTACTTATTTTCTATCCCCAAAGATGCACACCTCCAGGTGCACCTATGTGCAGGTACCTGGGCGCCCTGTGCTCCTCCCCATAGCAGGGTGTCAGTGGCAGGCTTTACAACCTGCCCCCTTTGCACCTTCTCTTGGCTGCAGCGGTTGGAAGGGAGGGGTGTAACTCAGGCAGGAGGTGCTCCCAGATCTGCTGCAAGGTGCCTTGGGGATCATTAGGATCACCTAACTGACTGTCCTTAAAATGAGTGTGTCCTTTCCTCTGCTTCAGAGGGGATGAGGTCAGGCGGGCCCTGCTTAGCCATGAACTTGGCAGAGGGGCCAGAGAACACTAGAGCTATTCAGACATTGTTTGGTACTGCCTTTCATTTTTACCAGGAGCAAGAGGAGAGTCCAGTATTTGAGAGTCAGAGGGTCTTAGGGGCCATCCCACATCTTCATTCTGCCGAGAGGGAGAAGGCAAGGGTTACTCTGAGTTCACAGTGAACCTGGCTTTGCCTAAAAGTACTTCGCACTGCCCCAGTGTGTCCCGTTTCCCTGCTTCCATTTGTTGTAGAATGGCTGAAGCTATGGTTCCCTGTTCTCTTCACTCGCCAACCTTTATTTTCCTCCTGTCGTACTGGGGATTGAAGCCAGGGCCTCCCACATATATGCTAGGCAAGTACTCTGCCACTGAGCCACACCCCAGCCCATTTTTAAATTTTGAGACAGGGTCTGCCTAAGTCATTCAGGCTGGCCTTGACCTTGCAATTCCCCTGCCTCAACTTCCCCAAGTCACTGGGATCACAGGTGTGGCCACCAAGCCTGCTTGTCCTGCCAAGGGGAAGGCAGGATGAGTTGCAACCTAGCTCAGTCCCTCAGCCCCTGGGTGACATTCCCACCTAAAAATCAGGGAGGGGACGGTCACAACTAACATGCTGAGCACTTGTTTAGTGCCAGGCTGGTTCTGTGCTGTGGGAATTCTGTCCTCGTCTCTCCCTCCTGGTCTCATGTCCTACCAGAGGATGTAACATCCTGTCCCGGGAAGGGATGACGTTCGTGGGCGGAGGAGCTGGAAAGGGCTGGTGAGGGGTAGCCTCCATCCTGCTTGCCCTTCGCCTGGATCACCCCCTCCCTGTCACCACACGGTCCACGCTAACTTTCCTTCTCTCTCTTTCCCTAGAGACAAGAGGAACAGCAGCGACACCGCCCCTCACCCTGGAGGGTCTTGTACAATCTCATCATGGGACTCCTGCCCTTACCCAGGGGCCATGGAGCCCCAGAAATGGAGCCCAATTAGGTGCCTGCACCCGCCCGGTGGACGTTGGGGACTTGGGGGGCAGGACCCTCCCACCTCCTGATGCCCTGGCCAGCGCGGGGGACTTTTTCTGCACCATGTAGCATACTGGACTACCAGCCCTGCCTGTCCCAGGGGCAGGCCGGGCAGCCACTCCAGCCCCGGCCTACCTGGGCGCAGTGATGGAGAAGTGGACTCCTGGGCCCCTGGCACAGCCGCCAGGGGAAGGAGGGCTGAAGGACTCAGCATCTGAAGGCGGCGGTGACTGAGGGGGTGGGGACTGAGCCACCTGCCTCTGCCGCCCATCACCATCTCAGGAAAGGCTGCTGGTGCTGGCTGCCCGTTCCAGCTGCAGGGGGGACGCTGGGGGCCTCCCCAGTGCTCCTTCACTTTGGGCCTGGCCTCAGGCCTCTGGTGCTTCCCCCCCTCCTCTTGGGGAGGGGGCCCATGAAGAGCAAATGAGCCAAACGTGACCACTAGCCTCCTGGAGCCAGAGAATGGGGTGTGTCTGATGGCCTCCCCAGCCTAGCGCCCAGCCATCTTCCCTGAGCCGGCCGGCGGGTGGCGGGCTCGCCTGCCTCACCTTCATCTGGGGGTGGCCAGGAGGGGCCCAGACTGTGAATCCTGTGCTCTGCCCATGACCACCCCCGTCCCCATCAATCCCATTGCATAGGTTTAGAGAGCACGTGTGACCACTGGCGTTCATTTGGGGGGTGGGAGACTTTGGCAGAAGCCGCCCCAGCCTTAGTCCCCAGGGCCAAGCGCTGGGGGGAGGACGGGGAGTCAGGGAGGGGGGGAGTCTCAGAAGAGGGAGGAGTCTGGGAGCGGGGAGGGGTGGCCCAGCCTGTAAAATACTGTATATGCGCTGCTGTAGATACCGGAATGAATTTTCTGTACATGTTTGGTTAATTTTTTTTGTACATGATTTTTGTATGTTTCCTTTTCAATAAAATCAGATTGGAACAGTGGATACTCTTTCTGCTCGCCTTCCCCACAGCCTAGCCTTAGACCTCTGCCACCAGCTCTGAGAGGTGGGAGAGAAGCAGTGTCCCTGGCACTCACCCAGGTCAGGGCAGCTGTAACCCTAGCAGACGATGAAGAATGTGGCCCAGTGCAGCCTGCCCAGCCTCCGCAGCCTGACCAACTCCCTCCAAGGCAGAGCCCCTGGGGCGGGGGCTTCACGTTTCTCCTCATTTATTCCCAGGATAGAGGGTCTGTAGGGGCTCCAAGTTTATTGAATGGATGAATGACCCATAATTTATTCAGAAGCACCACTGTCCTAAGTGCTGGGACACACTGGTCATGAGACAGACCTTCTTCTGGCCCCCAAGGAGGCAGAAGGTGACATCCAGTCAGGCACTGTGATCAGCCTTAGGCTGCCTCTCTGGCTGGAGGTGCAGGACCAGCTAAGATCAGCAGAAGCCAGTGTAGCATTGAAGATAGAAAGGACAGCTCTTAGCCCAGACTTGGTGACAAATGACTGTAACCCAGTGACTTGGAAGGCTAAGGGTTGGGGATGAGGCCAAGTGGTAAGGCATCCCTGGGTTCAATTCCCACTACGAAAAATTTTTTTTTAAATAAAATAAACTGCAGGCAGTCAGGCACAGTAGTGCACACCTATAATCCCAGCAGATGGGGAGGTTGAGGCAGAAGGATCATGAGTTTAAAGTCAGCCTCAGCAATTTAGCAACCCTGTCCCCAAAATAAAAAGGGATAGGCTGGGGTTATGGCTCAGCGGTAGAACGTTCGATCCTCAGCACCACATAAAAATAAATAAATAAAACAAGGTATTGTGTCTAACTACAACTAAAAATTAAATATTAAAAAAAGGGGGGGGAGGAGGGGATGTGGCTCAAGCGGTAATGTGCTCGCCTGGCATGCGTGGAGCACTGGGTTCGATCCTCAGCACCACATAAAATAAAAATGAAGATGTTGTGTCCGCTGAAAACTGAAAAATAAATATTAAAAAATTCTCTCTCTTTAAAAAAAGGGGGAGAGGGTGGGAGACATGGGGATGTGGCTCAGTGGTTTAGTGTCCGTGTTCAATCCCCAGTACAAAAAACTGAGAGATATAATTAAAAACCAAATGCTAAATTTTATTTGTTTATTTTGTGATACTGGGGATACAAACATAATTGAAATTCTAGAACTTATTCAAGTAATCCCAGAAGGCAGGGTAGGGTAGGGTAAACAGGAACAAAAATGGGAAAGTTGAATGAATTTGGGGTTTTCCAAGTTCAACCATGCCAGTGCTTCACGAAACAGCGCTAAGAAGGGCAGGCAGCTGGGGGAGAGGCATCCTCTGCCAGGACAGGAGCCTGTGCCACGGCCAGAGCTGAAGAGGGCTCTGGTGCTAGACAGGCTGGGTGTGAGCGCTCACTGTGCGGTCAGGGCCCTGGCTTTAAGTATGAAGCAAGAAAACAGATTTCAGGAATGATAAATACCCAGAGCCTGCTGTCATATCTACTTGCCTCTCTTTCTCACTATTACGTGTTGCTTTTTCCTGTTCACCGCAGTTCCCACTGCACAGTAGCCCGCGCTTACCACGGGGACACACTCCAAGACCCCCATCGGATGCCTAAATCTACGGGCAGCAGCCTTTACATACACACCTAAGATAAAGTGTAAATTGTGAATTAGACACAATAATAGATACAGAAAATACCTAATAAAATAGAACAATCATAACAATAAACTGTAATAAAGTTGCCGGCATCACTACTCTTATACTTTGAGGTTATTATTAAGTAAAATCAGACTTACTTGAACATAAGTACAAGATTCTAAGACAGTGGATCTGATAACTTGATAACTGAGATGGCTACTGAGGGACAATTGGTGGCACATTTAATGTGAATACGCAATGACTTTTTTTTTTTTTTTTAAAGAGAGAGAGAGAACTTTTAATATTTATTTTTTAGTTTTCAGCTAACACAACATCTTTGTTCGCATGTAGTGCCGAGGATCGAACCTGGGCCCCACGCATGTCAGGCAAGCGCGCTACTGCTTGAGCCACATCCCCAGCCCCAGATGCAGTGACTTTTGCTTTAAATGGTCATATAAAAACCAGGAAAGGTGTTGGGTGTGGTGGCACATGCCTGAAATCCCAGCAGCTCCGGAGGCTGAGACAGGAGGATTCCAAATTCAAAGCCAGCCTCAGCAATTTAGCAAGGCACTAAGCAACTCAGTGAGACCCTGTCTCTAAATAAAATACCAAAATCGAAATCGGGGCTGGGGTTGTGGCTCAGTGGTAGAGCGCTTGCCTAGCATGCATGAGGCACTGGGTTTGATAACCGGAACCATATAAAATTAAATAAATAAAATAAAGATATTTTGTACATCTACAACTAAAAAAAAAAAAATGGGCTGGGAATGTGGCTCAGTGGTTGAGTGTCCCTGAGTTCAATCTCAAGTACCAAAAAAAAAAAAACAAAAAAAACCAAAACAGGAATGGTAGTGCTCATCTGTAATCCCAGCAACTCGGGAAACTGAGGCAGAAGGATCATCACACATTTGAGGCCAGCCTCAATCTCTCTCTCTCTTTTTTTTTTTTTTTTGCTTGAAAAGTACAAATTTATTACCTTATAGTTGTAGACTTACAATTTTAACAGGGGTCTCACTGAGCTAAAATCAAGACTTTTGTTTTTTAAATTAATTTTACAGTAGAATGCATTTTGACATATAGTTTAGTCTCAGTATCTTAACAAGACCCTTTCTAAAAAAATTAAAAAGGGCTGGGGACATGGCTCAGTGGCTGAGCACCTCTGGGTTCAACTCCTAGTATTAAAAAAAAAAAAAAGTATATTTCTGGGGCTGGGGCTGGGGCTCAGTGGTAGAGCACTTGCCTACTACTCGTGAGGCACTGGGTTCGATCCCTGGCACCACATACAATAAACAAATAAAATAAAGATATATATATATAAAGTATATATTTCCAAGAAATTAAGAGAAAAAAAGGATTTAAAAAAAATCTAGAGGATTGTCTTAAATCTATAATATTTTATCTGAAACAAACAAAAAAAACCTTTCTCCATTTATTTACCATTTCCAGTGATCTTTTACCCATCTTGAAGTTTCTAATTTTTCCAGATATTATTTCCCTTCAGTCTGAAAAACTTCCATGTAGTATTTTTTGTAGTGTCTTTCTGCTGGCAACCAATTTTCTTAAATTTTTCTTTTCTTTTTTCTTTTTTTAATCTCAAATTATCTATTTCAACACCTTGCTGGATATTTTACTGATTATGAAATTTCTGATTGTGGCGCACCCCGTAATCCCAGCTACTCTGGGGGCTGAGAGAAGAGGATCACAAACTTAAGGCTAGCCTCAGCAACTTAATTGGGCTTGTTTGTTTGTTACTTGGGATTGAACTCAGGGGCATTCGACCACTGAGCCACATTCCCAGATGCTGATGCTCTGTCTCAAAATAAAAAGGACTGGGGATGTATGTAGTTAAGTGGTAGAGTGCCCCTGGGTTCAATTCCCATTATTAGAAGGGGAAAGAAAAAAAAAAAAAACCGGAAAAAGACTTGGGTGGAATTTGTGCATCAAAGATTGGTACCCTCCCTTGGAGATCTCCTTTCCAGAATTTCCTCTTTGCTTTCCAACAACTAAGATCACTCCAGCCTCCACCTTTGGTTCTGTAGACCAGTAAGGCAACTGGGTTTCCACCTGAGTTTTACTGGGGGGCTGGACTGCATGCGTCCTCAGGTTAAAGTTGCTGAAAAACCAATCAGAAACCAAAATACTAACAACAAACCCACCCAGAGCCAGAGGATGAGGGGTTGGGGGTGTGGCTCAAGTGGTAGCTTGCTGGCCTGGGAAGGCTGAGTAAGGAGGATCGCCAGTTCCAGCTTCAGCAATGGCGAGGCCCTAAGCAACTCAGTGAGATCTTGTCTCTAAATAATTTTTTTTTTTTAAGAGAGAGTGAGAGAGATAGAGAATTTTAATATTTTATCAGCGGACACAACATCTTTTTGTTTGTATGTGGTGCTGAGGATCAAACCTGGGCCGCACGCATGCCAGGCGAGCGCGCTACCGCTTGAGCCACATCCCCAGCCCCTTGTCTCTAAATAATACAAAACAGGGCTGGGAATGTGGCTCAGTGGTTGAGTGCCTCCAATCCCCAGTACCAAAAAACAAAACAAACAAACAAACAAAAAAACCCACAAAAAAAAACCCACAAGGTACTCACACAGTGTTGATCTCTTCTTGCAAGTAGCTGGGTTTTTGGTTTTGGTGTTAGTTTTGTTTAGAATGTCTAGTTATCTGCAGGACGGTTCTCTGTTAGGAGTTCAGTCCACTGTAGCAGACACATAACTACTCCTTCCTCTTCCTCTTTTTTTTTTTTTTTGGTGGCACTGAGGATGGAACCCAGAGCCCAGCACATACCAAGAACAAGCTCTATTGCTGAACCACACCCTCAGCCCTGCCTCTTCGTTTTCATAGAACCAAACCTATCATTTCCTAGGACTAAAAGTGGAAAATTCCCAGCACCACCACCACCAAAAAGAGGCAGACTCAGTTAGGGAAGGCCATGTTTTTGTTTGCCAAGTCCAAAGGGCTCCTTGAAAACAAAAATGAGGGAATATCTTGTTTTTCAAACAAAAGAGGGAATATCTAAAGTCATCCATGTCTTCTCCTTTGGAACCAGGATGAGGCTCAAGGATCTCAGCCAAGCCACCACTACATGCGAACTCAACCTCTGGCAAGCTAATACCAAATTTGTTCTGCCTCCAAATGTTCCCATCCTGCAGTGGTTGCTTCTAGAAAAGGAAGACTTTCTCTTTATCCTTTATGTACTTTTCCTTCCTTAAAAAATATGACTTTTGGGGCTGGGGTTGTGGCTCAACGGTAGAGCGCTCGACTAGCACATGTGAGGCCCTAGGTTTGATCCTCAGCACCACATAAAAATAAGTAAATGTACTGTGTCCACCTACAACTAAAAGAACCCCAGGGCCTTGCTCATGTGTATGAATTTGTATGCTGTTTTTTGACTGTTTGTTTTTTCAGGACTGGGGATTGAACCCAGGGCCTCACTCATGTTAGCCAAGTGCTCTACCACTGAGCTGTCCCCAGCCCCGTTTTTCTTTTGAGACAGGGTATTGCTAAATTGCTGAGGTTGATCTGGAACTTGGCATCTTCTTTCCTCAGCCTCTCATCACTGAGAGTGCCAGTGTGCATGGCTACATTGAGCAATTTCTTTTTCTTTTTAGCATTTTTACTTAAAGAATTAACTCAATTCCTACATATCTGAAGAATACATGATGTGTTTTCCTCTGGTGCTGGTGATTGGATCCAGGGCCTGGAGAAAGCTTAGCATGCACTCTACCACTGAGCTACACCCCAGACCCAGAATATTATACTGACTTCACAGTGGGAGAAACTGAGGCACCAAAAAACCAAAAAACACCTACCCAAGGTCACCCCGATCAGATAGGTGGTGACTTCAGGATTGAACCTGGCCATGTGGAAGGATTCCTGCTCTACAGTTATCAGAGTGACCTTCTTGGGAGATGTGAAAGTGGATAAAGCTAACATGTTAGGAAAGCATCTCTAGATTTTCTCCAAAATCCCGAGTTTGGTTGTAAGGTCAGCTGCTCCCGTTATGTGGCCAATATTGCGCTAACAGGCTGAATAATACAGTGGAGAGAAACCTCACTTCCTGGGTTTGTATATTGCTTAATGTTTTATAAGCTTAAGAACAAAACCAACCTGACCTTCTGGACCTGGCTGAAGGCTTCCCTCAGCACTTGGGACTAAGTGATGTTTGGCAGGAACTTCTAGATCTCCGGATCTTGTAAAGGTAATACCCTAGTCTGCCCATTCTCACTAAGCTAACATGACTGCTGGGACACTGAGGACTTCCTCGTGCATCCTACATAAAAGGCTTCCCAATCTGCCCTTCTTCCATCCCTTATTTGTGAGATGAGGTGTGGTTTTCTTCTTTGCTATTTGAGTATGGTAACAGCTGTGGAAGTTTATTATTTTTTTGTACCAGGGATTGAACCCTGTGGGAGTGGGGGTTAACCATGCAGAAACATCCCCAGCCCCCCCTTTAAACAATTTTAGTTGTTGATGAACCTTTATTTTTTATTAATATATGGTGCTGAGAATCGAACCCAGTGCCTCACACATACCAGGCAAGCGCTCTACCACTGAGGCACAACACCAGCCCCCCAGCCCTTTTTAAATATTTTGTTAGAGACAGGTTCTTGCTGAATTGCTTAGGGCCTCATTAAAATTCTGAGGCTGGATTTGAACTCGTGATCCTGCCTCAGCTTCAGGAGTTGCTGGGATTACAGGCATGCACCACTGTGACAGGCTGCAGGGCAAGTATATTAAGATAGCAGGCAGATTAAGCATGGAATTAAATAAAGGGCTGGGAATGTAGCTCAGTGGTAGAGAACACTTGGACTCACAAACACCCCCCCCCCCACCACCAAAATGTAGGATGGGACTGAACCTAGGAGCACTCTACTACTGAGCTACATCCCCAAACAGCTGGGAATACAGACTGGTGCCATCACATAGGGCCCAAGACTAAGAAATCTTTATCATGTTGTAGTTTTGTACATTTGCAGGTAGTTTCCTCCCCGACCTTAACAGTTTGAACCCAAGGACACTATCACCAAGCATCATCCCAGTCTTTTTTTTTTTTTTTTTTAGTACCAGGGGCATTAGGCCACAGAACCACATCCCCAAGCCCTATTTCGTATTTTCTCGAGAAAGGGTCTGAGTTGCTCAGATAAATTGCTGAGGCTGGTTTTGAATTCAGGATCCTCCTGCCTCAGTCTCCCAAGCTGCTGGGATTACAGATATGTGCCACCACACCCCAATCTGGCCCTTTTTCTTGCCCCAACCTCCCAAGTAGCTGGGATTAACTTGTACCACCCCTCCCAGCTGCCCATGGTTTTTGGGAAGCAACTGTCCCCTAACACACTTTGAGGCTTTAATAGCCTTAACACTTTGAGCACTTGAGAGCTGGCTGCTATACACACCACAAACATCAGTGTGGTTTAAGTAGGAACCTGGCAGCCCCAAAGACAGCTCATTTTTTCTTTCATTTGGATTCTAGCACCTCTGCAGATCAGACCCTCCTTCCCAAGTTGGCGATATACCTTCCGGAGTTACTAGAAACCACAGGTTGTGCTCAGTGTTCTGGAAAGATAGTGAATGTATTTTTACGATATTTCCATTTTAAAAAAGCAAAATATTTCTTGCCCAGGGCTGGCAACTTCAAGCACTGCCCCCCCTGCGCCCCAATTCCCAATGGGTGACTCAATCTCTGCCATTAAGAGGTACAGGGAAGAAAAGTTTGAAAAGCCTCAAAGATTGCAGTTTTGTTTTTAATCTGCTCAGGCCCACCTCCGCCCCCTTGTGACCAAGGCCATGCATTGCAAAGCCTTAACACTTTAAGGGTATAATTAGCTAAATATGTGAAAGATCCTGGGAGATTCCCGCAGCAGTGAAATTGCTGACCCAGCCCCATGAATAATGTTAATGGTGCCCAGAACAGAAGTCCGCCCGAAGTGTGGCTTCTGCTTCACCCAGCACAGGAGCAGGGTACAGAGGGCTGGGGAATCTAGTTCCTCTTCCCAGTGGAGACCAGATCTCTCCCACTGACCCAGCAAGACAATAACAGAACTGACTTGTTCAAATTGCAGACTATTTTACCCCGAGGAGGCAGGCAGGAGCTGGATGGAGATCAAATGGAACACTGGGGTAGACAAGCAGCTGGTGTTCAAGGCGCTGCTGCCCGTTCCCACCTATGGTGTTTGTAGTGCAGTACTTAGGGGCTCTTTTTGGCCCTACAGCGGATGGACTTGCCTGCTAGGCCAGTCCTCTACCAGAAAGCTACACCCTAGGGTTCCTTGATTTTGAGACAGTTTCACTAAGTTGGCCAAAGCTGGCCTTGAACTGTCATCCTTCTCTACCTCTGCCTTCTGCATCACTGGGGTTACAGTTCAACCAGGCTGCTGCTTACCTTTCAACCGGAGGTCACCCATTCTTGCTCAGCACAAAGTTGCACAGAGAATCCAACAGAAGCATTGGCATCATTTTCATTATTACTAATCTTTGCCACTAAAAACAGTCACTATTTAGCTGAATTATTCAACAGAAATCTGGGACCAGAAGCATATACATGTTCTAGAATTCGAGCAAGCCAACTCTTGTTCCATTAACCAGGATAAGTGTGGTACGAACAGTGACAGAGGGAGGAATCTGAGACACTGAAAGTGCATTAAGTGCTATTTCTTAAAAAGGCAATTGGCACAATCAGCCTGTCAGAAGTTTCTGAAGTGAAAGAAAACCACACGAATCCTAAGGCAAATAACTTTATTATCTTTCCTTATTAAAGAACCAAGGAACATGTAAAAAATATGTAAAACAGCAATAGATACAATTCCAGGGGTAAATGAAGGACTGATACAGCCCTTAAATACAAGGGTCTGTGCACACCAGTGATGGGGTCTGCCAATGGCAGAATCCTCCTCCCCAGACTAGGAGTTCTGCAGGGACCCAGGTAGGTATCTGCCTTTTTATTTTTTTAATTTTTGATTTTTTAAAAAACAGTACTGGGTACTAAATCCAGGGACACTCTACCACAGAATTATAACTGGAACCCTTTTTATTTATTTTTTTACTTTGAAATGGGGCCTCATGAAATTGCTGAGGCTAACCTTGAACTTAGATTCTCCTGCCTCAGCCTCCTGAGCTGCTGGGATTACAGGCCTGTGCCATCATGACCAGCTTAAATCTATCTTTTTAAAACAAGCTCTCCCACTAATATTTAACTTAAAAGAGAACTTGGCAATATTTCTTCCCTTCCAAAATCCAGGCTGGAACTTGACTAATCCCAAACTAAAACTAAAGAACTGCACACCAGACGCCACCTGTTGTTTTCATGATCTCAAACTCTAGAGGAAGTACATTCCGCCCGTCGTGTTTTTTCTAAGGGCACCTGTCTGAATTTGGTACTGTGGTTCCACTTGAGTGTCATCACTGGGCCTGGGCCTCATTCCGCACCTGAAGCCGTGTCCCTCTCATATGACACCAGGTGGGGAACAAGCCTAAGAAGGAAGCAGGAGGCTCCACAGGCCTGAGGCTCCTGCAGGCTCTCCGACAATGCCCTAGAGGATGGGCTGCGCTTCAACAGGATGAATATACAGATGTTAGAGGGGTGGTTTGAGGTGATTGCCCTGTGGACAGCGAGCAGGCCTGTGGTGGCCAAAGGTTTCAAATAGTACTGAATGAACATGCCCAGTCCCTGTGCCCTGCCTAGCAACTGCTGGCAATGGAAGCAACATATCTGCACACCTCCCTGCCTGCAGGAGATGATGCTCTGTAGGAGTCCATGACTCCACTCTTCCCTGCTCCGGAGATGCCTTTGTGGAGGGGGGGGGGGGGAAATACATGTGAGCATGCTTCGGTCAATGTCTCTGGGGCTGCCAAGTCTTGGACTCACTTGGGACCCAGACACTCCACAATCCCATTTCCCTTCATGCCATCAAAAAAGAAGAAGTTGTTGTGAGGAGGGTCCCTCTGAGACAGAGCCTGGGGAGAAAAACAAAGAAGGTTCAGCTCAAGTGTTTTACCTACCTGCTACACATGCAGCACTGGGGACTGTATTCGAGGACTTTTTTAAAAAATATTTTTTAGTTATAGGTGGACACAATGCCTTTATTTTATATTTATGTGGTATTGAGGATCGAACCCAGTGCCTCACACATGCTAGGCGAGCGCTCTACCTCTGAGACACAATCTCAGACCCTCAAGGACCTTAAAAGTGATAAATAGAGGGAAAAAAAAACTTCTAAAAAACGAAATAAATGCAGTGTAGGTTAATTGTTCTCAATCTGGATTGACTGTACTCCCCAGGGGGTATTCTGGCAATGTCAGGAGACAATTTTGATTGTCATTTCTCTTTGCTTTGTCTCTAGCCAGCTGTGTCCTTGGATGGATCATTTAACCTCTGAACCTTACTTTCTTCATATATAATGAGAATTACAAGTATATTAAGCTGGAGATCAAAACAGATGATGTACCTCAAATACTTAGAATGATGCCCGGCTCAGAGTAACGCCACGAGGCAATGACAGAAATAATTATGACCATTCAACTAAGAAAGGCAGCACTGCTTTCTAACTTTCCTTGGGCTGCAGGCTTTACAACTTGAAGGGACACATTTAACTGAAGGACACAAAGATGTAGAAGGAGGCTCCAGTTCCTTCATGAGGACACAATGTAGCTGCTCTCCCACAGGCCAGGCCAGGGCTGGAATCCAGAAGGCCCAGGTGATGTCAGCCAGCCATACAGACCATCATTTTGTGGGTGAGACAATGCACATTTTTAAAATGGGGTCACTCCTTGAAGTCACATGTGGAGTCACACATGTACATACATTTTTCTAAGAAAAGGGTTCATAGGTGATAGCAAAGCTTTACAGAGGTGACCTCCTTGAGGAAGTTAGAACATCCTGAAAGGCTCTCCCTTCTTTGGGGGGGCACAGGTTTACCAGGGATTGAACCCAGGGGTACTTAACCACTGAGTCACATCACTAGCCTTTCCTAATTTTCTTTTTTGAGACAAGGTCTCAATAAGCTCCTCAGGGCCTTGCTAAATTGTTGAGGCTAGCTTTGAACTTGAGATCCTCCTGCCTCAGCCTCCAGAGCTGCTGGAATTATAGGCCTGTGCCATGGTGGCTGGCTCGAATGGCTCCTCTTTGAACTATGCTGTATTCCCTGCACTGAAAACCATTCCCATTCTGTTTCTTCAAACTATATAAAATGGGGGCAAGCAGATACTTGATTATTCAGCCAAGCAAAATTTGTTTTTTATTTTTTATATATATATATATATATTTTTTTAAAGAGAGAGAGAGAGAATTTTTAATATTTATTTTTTAGTTTTCGGTGGACACAACATCTTTATTTGTATGTGGTGCTGAGGATCGAACCCGGGCCGCACGCATGCCAGGCGAGCGCACTACTGCTTGAGCCACATCCCCAGCCCCAAGCAAAATTTGTTAAGCATCTACTCTTTTCCAGGAACTGTCCTAGACAGACATTACAGACACTGAGAAGGTCCCTGCCCACAGCGAGCTTTGATCAAGAAGAGGTCTGTTTCTCTAGGTATGCACATAAATGAGCAGATAAACAGCATCTGCTTGCTAGTTTCTGGTAAGGATGCAACCAGGATGAAACCAGGTTTGTAGCATGCCTGGCAACTAGGAAATTCTCAACTGTGAGCTGTTCTTTTTTTTTTTTTTTTAATTTTTTAAAATTTTTTTAGTTCTCGGCAGACACAACATCTTTGTTGGTATGTGGTGCTGAGGATCGAACCCGGGCTGCACGCATGCCAGGCGAGTGCGCTACCGCTTGAGCCACATCCCCAGCCCCTGTGAGCTGTTCTTACTAAGGGGGCTGAGGGTCCTCTGTTAATGCGTATGTGGCAGGTGGAAAGGCCAAACACACCACACTTGGAATTCCCAGACCCCTGAACCAAGTTACAGGTTATCAATGTTGGCCTTGAACTCCAGAGCTCAAGCAATCCTCCTGCTCTAGCCTCCTGAGCAGCTGGGACTATAGGCACGTGCCACCACGTCCAGCTTAACTGACTTTTTTATGTGTGTGTGTGGTACTGGGATTGAACTCTGAGCCTGTGTATTCTATTAAGTGGTCTACCACTGAGCTCCATCCCGAGACCTTTTTTATATTTTGAGACAGGGTCTCATTAAGTTGCCAAGGATCGGGGCTGGGGTTATGGCTCAGCAGTAGAGTGCTCACCTAACATATGCGAGGTGTCCCTGGATCAATTCTGAGCACCACATAAAAATAAATAAAGGTATTGTGTATAACTACAAATAAAAAATATTTAAAAAAAAGTTGCCCAAGATGGTCTCAAATTTGTAATATTCCTCCAATGAGCTTTTGCAATAGCTGGGATAGCAGGAGAGTGACACTGTGCCTCGCTTGATCCATTTTAACATGGAGCCTGGGATAGTGAGTGGCTAGGCTTTCACTACCACCTCTACCACTATGGGGATGGAGACCTGCTATGGGGACAAAGGAAAAGCAAAAATAATTAAAAAAATTTTTTTGTAGGTGCTGCAGTCAAACCCAGGGCCTCAAGCATGCTAAGCAAGCACTTTGCCATCGAGCTACTTCTCCAACGCTCTAAGAATGATTTGGAAGCATGACATGTCACCTGTATCTGGAAGCATGTGACAAAGAAAGAAGTGAAAGACAATCCCAAGGGGATAGACATCTACCTCTGTCCTCCCGTTCCTAATGCTTACTCATCAGGTGCTGAGATGATGGGATCAAGTTGCAGGGCCCTCTCCAGATGGCTGAGGGCAGGAAGGATGGGAAGTGATGGGGAGCAGTGGGGACAAGAGACTGGGGGGTCTGGGATGAACCCAGGGCAAAACGTAAAGTGCTTCCCAGTAGGACAGGGTAGGAGGAGATTCCAAACACACCCAGCAACCAAGAATGTAGAGTACTCTGGCTATCTGGGATAAACAGAAACAAGATGCTGGGCAACAGCTGTCCCCAGCAGGCAGGAAGGAGGGGGCAGCATTAGGACTAAGATGCACAGAAGTCACTGCAAACAATGAGGTCAAGGCCACCTGCCCTCACATCCACTCTCCACCCCACAGGAAAAAAAATCAGAGAGCAGCTTCCCAACAGACTGGACAGAAGCAAGGCTGAGGACCAGGGCAGGACTCGGTGGGGTGCCATGGAGGGCAACACCTGAAGCCTGACTGAGTGCTCAGAAGCAATCGCAGAAGCCAGACTGCCTGGCTCCACCACCTCTATTTTCTTCCTTTTACGAATCATGGATCAGTAAGGCATAATTGCAATCCTGACTACTCAGAAGGTTGAGGCACGAGGATTCAAGTTTGAGGCAAGTTTGGGCAACACAGTGAGAACCTTGTCTCAAAATAAAAAGTGAAAAGGGCTATGGATGTAGCTCAGTGGTAGAGAACCCTGGGTCCAATCATCAGTACCACCTCCCCTAAGTAAATAAACAAATCAGTGATCACAACTGTTCCTGCCTTGTAGTACTTTGCAAGTGGGGAAGTGGGTGTAGCCATAGCACACTTCTCTTCTCCCCGCTTCGGATCTTCTCAGCCCAGGACATAGAAATCGATTGGATTTGGGCAAAAGAGAAGAACATGAAAGACAGGGGAAAAAAAAAGAAAAACACCATAGGAAGATATGTGAGATTGTCCAATTGAAGCAATGTCTATAGAGCAAATTTACAGACTCCAAGACACAGTGGTTAGAGCTGGGTCTCCAACTGTCCTTCTAAGCTCAAATCTGACATATTTATGAACAGGGGGAATCATTTAGCCAGGCATAACTTTGCCCCATAAAAGAAAAGGACAAGTCGAGTGTGGTGACACACACCTATAATCCCAGGCACTCAGGTGGCTAAGGCAGGAAGATCACAAGTTCAAGACCAGCCCAGGGTGAAACCCTGTTAAATAGAGAAGAGCTGGGTGAGCTCAGAGGTAGAGCACTTGCCTAGCATGTGTTCAATCACCTGTATGAGGTGAGGGGAGGAAAGGGATGGGATGGAAAAATCATTACTGCAAGTCCACCAACACAGGCAAGAAGCTATGGGAGGCAAAAGAAAGAAGAAAATAGTAGTGATGCGGATCAAACCCAGGGACTTGTGCACGTTAAGCATGCATTTTGCTATTGAGCTATATACGCCAAGCCCCACAAAAGGCAAATTTAACATTGCCGAAAAGCAAGACACCAATGAAAATGAAATAGTATTTTGAAAAATGCTATGGTTTTGGCAACCCAAATATTCCAGAAGAGCTAAAAAGGCTGTACTAGTTATTGGCTATGTGACCCCTCAGGAGACATACCCTTATAGTGTGTGGGTTAAAAAGGAGGAGTGGGTTTGGAATGGTGGTGTGGCTCAGTCGTAGAGCCCGTGCCTTGCATGTGAATGCCTGGGCTCCTTCCCCAGAATCACAAACTGGAGAAAAAAGAGGCGGGGGGCTTCAATTCATGGTGATGTATGGAGCTTAGAGCGAAAGTTTTAGAATCCCTTTTTCTGAGCTTCAGTGTCCACCTCTTAAATAAGGACCACAATGATAGACATTGCACACAGCTGTGAGAAGAACTGGCAACTATACTAAGCAGAAGATACCAGAAGACAGCTCCTTGGTTCTCTCTGAAGTCACATATACAAAGTCATCATGCCCCTTCTTCTGCTCCACTGTGACTTTTTTTTTTTGGTACCAGAGATTAACTCCAAGGGCACTTAACCACTGAGCCAATACATCCCCAGCCCTATGTTGAGACAAGGTCTCGCTAATCTTCCAACTTGCAATCTTCCTGCCTCAGCCTCCCAAGTCACTGTGATTATAGGCATGTGCCACCCATGAGTGGCTCTATTGTGACTTTTTACCTTCACAATTTCCTGTGCCAAGATTCCTCCAACCACTGCACACACTGGGGCCATCTCGGAGAAGCAGTACCTAAAAAGAGAGGACAAGTGAAACACAGCACTGGGGAACAGGAGTGCTGATGTGACATCTGGAAGAGTTCAGAAGTGGGTCCACTGGAACAAACACATCCTACCAGGAAGATCCCATTCAGACATCGGTTATCAATGCTGGCATCTAGGCGTGGAAGTTAAATCTGGCCCAGGGGTTGTAAATGGCTGGGAAAGACCTCTGTACTTTGGGAGGCAGGAATTCTTTCATACACAATTTTTTTTTTTTTAAGTTAAAGGAAAGACTATATCTGTGCTTCCTAAAAATAAGGTCTTACAAATATGTTTCAGTACCCTGGTCACATTCTCACAATTCTCCTCTGACTATAATGGGCAGTGGGTTCTATATGCTATTCAAACAAATGCCAGGGAGGAGGCCTGTGTTAACACGTAGGAAGCATGGGAAATTTAGGGCCTGAAATTAAAGCACATGGCAAAATAACGTTTTACAACCCACGCAGAAATCACCACTTCTGCAACAGGATGGGGCATCCACAGGACAATTTTTGCTATTACCGTCACCTGGTACTTCAAATCACTCATCCTGGAAATTAGAACGTACTCACCACCTCTACCTCCCCAAAGGGAGCATGATTTGCCAGCTCCACCCCTCAACACAAAGGTATTTATTAACTCAGAAAACTGGGACACGACAAGTTACAGGAATCAGCCTACCACCAAGGAGACCTTTGCCCTTTCTACTTAGTTACATAATTCTTCAAGACATTTAAATAATTACACATGTCCAAACATATAATTTTAAACCCAAATATCAACATTTGTTCTGCAACATATTAATATATATTTAAACTGTTCAACACTGCAATCATGTATTTTGACAAGGCTATACAAATAACTCCTAATAAGGCAAAGATTGGCGTAATCTCAGCAACTTGGGAGGCTGAGGCAGGAAGATCATAAATTGGAGGCCAACCTCAGCAACACAGTGAGATCCTGTCACAACATATATTTTTTTTTGGTTACAGGTGGATACAATGTCTTTATTTTATATTAATGTGGTGCTGAGGATCGAACCTAGTGCCTCACACATGCTAGGCGAGCGCGCTACCTCTATGCCACAATCCCAGCCCTCAACATAAAATTTTAAAAAGGTTAGGGGTGTGGATAGTGGTAGAGCTGCTTACCTACCACATGCAAGGCCCTGGGTTCAATCTGCACTTAAAAAACAAAACTATCTCAATGAGACAAAACAAACATTGCTACAAGAAAGAGAAATCTAAAATGTGGAATAAGGCAACCAGCCTCAACACCTTAAAAAAAAGAAAAAGTACCAGATAATAAATATTTTTGGGCTTACAGACATATAGTCTCTTTTATATACCATTTTTCAAGTCCACTGATAGTATCACAACTACTATATAAGATGATATGCAAATAAGTGTGCTAATAAAACTTTATTTATAAAAACAGGTGGCTAGCCAGTTAATCTGTATTCTGGATTAACAGTAAAAGAAGCAAATGCAACAGATGAACTTTTATTAGTTTTTTTTTTTTTTTTTGTACTGTGGATTGTACCCAGGAGTAATTAACCACTGAACCACATCCCTGGCCCTTTTTGAGACAGAGTCTGCTAAGTTGCTTGGGGCCTTGCTAAATTACTGATGCTAGCTTTGAAATTGTGATCCTCCTGCCTCAACCTCATGAGGCTGGGATTATATGCATGAGCTACTATGCCCAGCCCAAGAAAACATTTTAAAGACCCTTATATTTCTTTTTTTGGTTGTTTTGTTTTAGGTATGGGTATTGAACACAGGAGAACTCCTCCACTGAGCTATATTCCTAGCCCTTTTTAATGTTTTATTTTCAGATGGGGTCTCTAAATTATTAACGATGGCTTTGAATTTGTAATCCCCCAGCCTCCAAAACTGTTGGGATTATAGGTATGTGCCACCATGCCCAGCTCCTTCATACATATTTTTTAAAGTGTTTCCTGAGTAGCTCATACTTTTTTCAATTCTTCTTGCCAACAATGAATATTACAAGTAATTTTTTTTTCAATCCACAAAGGATTTTGTTCACCTGACACATGAAACGATATAATGGCATCAAATGGTCAATGCTTTTCTTTAGGTAATGGAATTATGAGTGACTTCAATTTTCATCTTTATGATTATGCTATAAAATCTGATTTTCCTATAATGAACTGGCAAATTATTTATGCAATATTGGGGAGGGGGAGGTTTGGCTTATTGTTTATGGTGTCAGGGACTTAACCCGGGGCTTTTTGCATGCTAGGTCTACTAACATAATTTAAAAAAAAATTTTTTTTAAGTTATCAATGGACCTTAATTTTTTTAAATTATTTATTTATTTATTTTTTAATTTTCAGCGGACACAACATCTTTGTTTGTATGTGGTGCTGAGGATCGAACCCAGGCCACACGGATGCCAGGCGAGTGCGCTACCGCTTGAGCCACATCCCCAGCCATGATGGACCTTAATTTTATTTATTCACATGCAGTGCTGAGAATTGAACCCAGTGCCTCACATATGCCAGGTAAGTGCTCTACAATTGAGCTACAACCCCAGCCTAATAATCTTAAAACCAGAAAGTCGGGGTGGGAGTATAGCTCAGTGGTACAGTATATGCTTAGCATGTATGGGGCCTTAGATTCCATCCTCAGCACCAAAACACCCCAAAACCAACCAAATAAAATACTAAACAAATCATTAAGTTCACAAATATTTTGTGATTTCACTTATATGAAATATTTAGAATAGTAAAAATAATGGTGGGGAGGAGGGAAAAATAAGGAGTAAATGTCCTTAATGTCAGTAATCTGTACACTGAGAAATGGTTAAAACAGGGCTGGGGATACATGTGGCTCAGAGGAAGAGCATGTGCTTAGCACGCTTGAGGCCCTGGGCTCAATCCCCAGCAATATATAAAAAAAAAAAGTTTTTTCAACATACTCTACAAACATGTTATATGGTACCAGGGATTAAAGCTGTGCTTCAGCACTGAGCTACATCCCATGATGTTAATTTATTTTGATACAGGGTGTCACTAAGTTGTCAAGACAAACTTTGGCCTTATACCCTTTCTGTCTCAAATGAGTAGCTGGAATTACAGGCATGTACTACCATGCCCAAAGAACTAGAAGCAACTAAATAACTACCAATAAAATATTGATTAAGTTAATGATCATATATCTAGAACACTGAAACTATATGAAATACAAGTGACAGGCTTCTGTGTTTGTTAACATAAATAGCTCTGTGATATGCTGGGAAAGGCTATCAAGGAGCACAGACAGTAATGATCCATTTTGATATTAAAAAAGAGAAAATATAGCCAGGCATGGTGGTGCACACCTGTAATCCCAGCAGCTCAGGAGGCTAAGACAGGAGGATTGCAAGTTCAAAGCCAGCCTCAGCAATGGCGAGGCACTAAGCAATTCAGTGAGACCCTATCTCTAAATAAAATACAAGATAGGGCTGGGGATGTGACTCAGTGGTTGAGCGCCCCTGATTTCAATCCCCAGTACCAAAAAAGAGAGAGAGAGAGAGAGAGAGAATGAATGAATATATATGAATAAACAAAGAAAATCTGTGAGCCTAGACCCTGAAATCTTAACAGTGGCTAGATTTATAAATGGTCCTTTTCTTCCATGTTATACTTTCTAGAAACAGGCATCTGTTACTTTCATAATCAGAAAAGCAATAAAGCTCTCTGAAAAGAGAATAAATAACGTAACATGAAGGAGACTGCCAGCAACTCACAGATGAAGGAAACAGGGACTTGTGCACAGTCCTCCCTGCACGGAAGCAACGCTGGGCAATTTGTGAGGGTGGCTCAGCTGCGAAGCAGCAGCTCATTTCCTTGCCAGCACCCCCATCACACCTCAGGTCACTTCACCTCGTGCCCAGAGACAGGCTTCAAAAGGCCACCAAAAACCTCTTACTTAGAAAGCAATAGAGTGGGAGCTCTCAGCATGTGACACCTAGATATAGCTTTTTTTTTTTTTTTTTTTTAAAGCATGGATTGAACCCCGGGGCTTTACCTCTGAGCTATATCTCCAATACTTTCGAGACAGGGACTTGAT